AACCTGCCCCTCCCAAGGGCAGCTCAAAGGACTCTTCCTCTCCCCCCACTCCCTGGCCTGTCCAGGCCACGCAGACGGGACATGGGGTCCAACTCAAGTGAGCCGGTCAGTCAGAGGCTCTCTCAATAACGTAACTGAAGAGACCAGCGATCTTGGTTGGTGAGAATGCACTGGACTTGTACAGTTTCGAGGAGTCAAGGCCTAAGTCAGCTGATTCCCAGGGAAGCCAGAGTCACCTGGAGCAGAAGCCATGCGGGAGCACGAACAACGTGCAGGTGCTCAGAGAGGAGAGGCAGAGAAGAGGATGGGGACAGTTCCCGTGAAATCTAGCTGCACTTCCCAAATTTTGATTCCATCAGATTCCATTAACCCTTTTGATAAAACCCCTTTTCACTTGAGAAAAAAGAAAAAAGAATTATACCACAGAGGCCAGATTGAAAAAACTCCACACCAATATCACCAATGTTCTGAAGTGATACCCTGAGGGTGGCCACACCCATACAGTCCATCCTTAATATCTTCAGCTCCCTTTCACTTTAATTTCCCATGGATTATTTGTATATATGTTTGTTTTACGATTTTCTTAATTCTCTTAAGGGCAGGGACTTTTTGTTTGTTCCCTAGCACCTAGGAAATGTTCAAACATGTTGGTTAAACGTAAAAATAAATGTGTGCGTTTCTATCTGCCTTGATGGAGTAAACAGCAGCTCACCCATTTCGCATTTAGGTTGACTTTGGCACATATAAGCAGATCATCAAGTCTCTTAGGTTCTCCATTTTGATCAGCAGTTCCATTTTATTCCAGAAATCTTTTCTCCCTCTGTTGATGAAGGATTTACAATTACACATTTCACATTTGCCTTAATCTCATAGACTTTAGATGGTCTCCCTAGGTGATTCTCACGCACACTAAAGCTTGAGATCCACTGCAATAAATGAAAACAGAGCCCCTTTTCTTTTAAGTATCTACACAAGGAGTGAAATCCAAAGAATCCAAAGACTTAGGGTTCCTGCCACGATTCACACCCAAGAGTTGATGTATAGAATCACAGAATTTTGGAGCAGAAAAGGTCCTTGTAGATCATTTAAGCTCCTCATTTAGAAGATCAGCAATCATATTTAGAGTTTCATAGACAGTTTAAGACAGAACAGAAATCAGAACCCAGGGATTCTGAATTTCAATCTAGTGCTGTCTTTGAGATGGTTGTCATGTACATTTGTGTGAGTGGTGAACTGAACAACTCTACACATGCCAGTCATACTGTGATCATGCGTATGGATTAGTACAGTTTCCTGACAGGTAGTAGTCAAGTTCTGACAAAATTAGTGTATTCTATGACTTTCCGATAGATGCAAGTAAAGTGTCTTGAGAAAGGGATACCATTTTCTAACACGCACAAAGATGTAACATGGGCTTGTGATAGGCAGCTCCCCTCACTTTTTCTCCAGTATAACCTTATGACTGATATAGAATGTGCAGGCTCTAATCTCAGTAACAAATACAATACAGATGCAGTTTATGGAAATTTGAATTATGCAAACTTGAAGTTGCTTGATATAGAAAAATTTTATACAGTTTTACTGCATAAAATTGCAACTCTCTAAAAAGCTGGCAAGAACTCCAAATTTCAAAACTGGCTGACCCAGTGAATTGCAAACCGTCTTCACGGACTGGCATGCAGAAGTGCTGCATTATGTAGTATAACGGGACCCACACTCTTGTCGACATGCACTGGAACCTCCACATATAATTTTAGTGAGCATTGTGCTATCGTTTGCACCATAAGTCTTTAACTCACAAGTTATATTTGATAAAAAACTCTGAACCTCTAACCACTGCCATTAATAGTGTACCATCTGTTAATTTAGGAGAAAGCACACTCTGAAAAGCACTGGAGAGGATGCTGTAAAAATAACATACAGCATTAGCCCACTCCCCCCAAAAAACCAACACCACAGCAACAGCATCTCCCATCTTAACATCATTCCTCTGTGAAAACTAGTTTTAAATTGAGTATTTTAAATTATGTGATGTGTTCAGGAGAGCATTCCTCATAAAAAATGCAGTTTCCCTTACTTTAAAACGTTTTCATGACTTTAAGTGACTCTAACGCCTGAAAGACAATGTGTAAACCTGGAAGGAGCCCTAGGGATTTCCCATTTAATATTACAGTTAGTCTCCACCAAGGGGATATAATTCTCTGGTAAGCATCCCAGAAGTCAGATCTGTTTTTGCATGTTTTTAGCTCTTTTTAGTACACAGTGAGATGCATCATTGTGTAGAATAATGCTTTGGTTATTTTTACTCCAGGTTCCAACAGGGCTTGAGTTTGTCACTAGATCACCTTCATGGATGTCTTCACAGGGCTTACCTTCATTATGCCTACTCAGTCAATTAAAAAGGAGGGCCAAGTGCCCTTCTTGCTCTCCCTCCCTGAATGACTACAGGATTAATGAGCTAATAAGCACAAAATACTTTCAACCTCGTGAGGAAATTAGTCTACAAACATGGGGCATGGCACGCCCTGTAGTCTAGGTGGGGCAGCATCAGCAGATGAACCGAGCTGCACTCTGATGCCCTCCATCCCCCCACTGCCTGATGCTGATGCTATTGACTTCATTGGTCCTTGGTCCTGGACCATCCAACCGTGGTCTATGCACACGCTCAGGTGCCGGTGAAGCAGGGGCATCAAAATTTCTAAATTTTTAGTTTTAGTATGTATAAAAAGCATCAAAGTGCTGATTATGAGGGAAATTAGAGCTTTGTTGGAGGTTTACATTTGTTCTGTGCTTTAGTATTGTTCTTATTTGGAATTACACAAATGGGGGCAGGATGGTACCATAATTATTTCAGAGCTTAGGGCTTCTAAAAGTCACATGGGCCCCAAGTGTACAACCCACTGAAAAACAATTTTGCCAAGAAATTTAATCAATTTATTTCCAAAAAATTCTCTTTCCAAGCAGGCAGTTTTCATGAAGGACTAAGTTCTCCCAGGAATACAGATTTATCAGAAGACCTTGAACAGTGTTACAAATCTATGAAAATTAAATCTTGTTTGGCTAGGGAATAGCCCAGGCTTTCAGTCAATGGCTGGTCTGAAAAGGTCTAGATCAAATTTTTAGAACCAGCATCTCAACGACTTGCAGATAAACTCGGGGTCCTAGAATTTGAGGAGGAACATTCTTCTTTGTTTCTTTTTCCAACTAAGATGGGTTTGCTGCGTTCTCGGTCAGCCCTGTGACCGCTGGCACTTGTCATTTCCAAATATACACGACTTCTCCACTCCTGCACCATCACTGAGATATGTGTGTGCATAAAAACAAAAGCTATATATTGCCAGCCTGAGTTTCCACACTTGGATCCCCTTCAGAAACCATTCTGAATATGACACTGTGCTGCAGGGTACTAAAAATGTGCTTTCCTCAAAATAAAACCTTTAAAGATCCCTTAGCAGCTATTCGGGGACTGGAATTCAATTTCAATTCTCCACCCTTTGGCCAGCTGTAGATTCAAAATGCTTACATAAAACACTGAGACTATGGACTTCATGGCAAATCTGATTATTCTTCTGCAATAGAAATGTGTGCTATAGTTACCACAAACTATATTTTTACTTAGAAAATACACAAAGCAATAATGCACCTCAACAAGAGAGAAGAGATTCTTTTTTTTATTTTACAGGTAGCTTTGATATAAGCTTCAGGTAAACCCATCTACTACACAGAGTTTGTGAAATCTACCCCTTCAAATCATAATACTCTCTATTTTATGCCATTACATCTAAAAGCATGACTTCTCAAATCCTTTTATTACAAGTAGTTCTTGCACATAAATGTTACATCACAATAGCAAAAAAAAAAATGTAAACTTCTTTTGCAAGCTACATAAATACTATAATATCTGCCTTAAAGTTATTCTTATTTTAAAATCAGAATATACTCTAAATGCTTTACATAGAAAACTTTGGTCAGTGGCCTATGTGTATGAAACATTTTTTTTTTCTGACTTGCCTTTTACGTTGCCTACTTAGGTCTTTGAAGGAGAAAAATGTAAAATAGAACCCAGATCAAAATTCAGCCTGTAAGTAAAACAAGCACCAGAAGCATATTGATAACTATCAGTAAAACATGAGACGTAAAAATTATTCCACATACTAACTCTGGCAAGCCACCAGTGGTATGGAGGTAACTGAAAATAAGGACTTGAGTCAAGTGCACATTTGATCCTATATGGAAGGAATTCAGCCCGCTTGTCATATATACACCTTTTACTCTGCTGTATGTCCGTTTTCAAATGAATCACCTCTTCCTCTTTGTTGTGGAGCACAACAGGTCATTTCCACAGCTGTAGTCCTAGCCTGGCAAGTCTCGGTGCCCGGGGAATTTATTTCACCATCACTGTCCCTAATGTCTTCAAATACAAATTTGAAATGTATAAATATACTGGTGCGTATACACACGTGTGCAAGCTTGTAGGACCACATCAAGGCCTTTTTTTTTTTTGCTTCAAGAGAAGTTTTTAGCGTTTACCTTTTTTGTTATTACTTCAAATCTTTTTCCTCAGAATGTTCTCTCAGTTAAAAATCAAGTTTTATCTGGAGCCCTCACTGATTTGTTATTCTGAGATTCCCACTGAACCTAGCTACTGGCCATGGTTTCTTTGAGGAAAACAATATTGCGGAAGCATTTTTAAAATTTTAAATGCATGCAGAAACAACTACATACGCTTTCTAAGGAGCTACATCGAGTGGCTCAAGTAACATTATTATTTATGTTTGCCTAAGCCCTTTGACAACATCATTTTAAAACACACCGAGAATGGCTGCAAGATGGCAGCAGAGCCCAGAATGCACGGCCAGGTGGGCAGTGCTCCCAGCCGTTCACGGGACATCAGGCGGGAATCCACTGTGCCATCCGCCCTCTTTCTGTGCATTTTCTCTAAATTTGTTGTGTCCTCTCTTTACTGCCCGTGCTTTTAAACTATGTAAAACAATTTTTAAAAATCTACCAACGATTAATTCAGACCTCAAATAACACTGTGTGTGGGCTCTGCTAGAGACAGGTAACTATTCTTAACAGCTCTTTTGCCGCAGGCGGCCCGCGAGGGCGGAGGAGGGCATCCGCATCTTAGGAACTGCTCTTGGGGCAGACGGTGCCCTGGCTGATACTGTCTTCCATGTACTGGCTGCCTGTGTCGCTCCTGCTGAGGACCGTGGAGGGGATGCCCGAGGGCCGCCTCTCCGGGTTCTTCTCCTGAGAGAAGCAGCAGATCATCTTCTTCATGGTGCTGTACATGTCCTCATCCTTGTAGGAGTAGATGATGGGGTTCATCACGGAGTTGAGCAGCGCCAGCAGCAGGAACCACCTTTTCACGTGCTGCACGCCGCACTGCCTGCAGTTCAGGCCGTCGAGCAGCAGAACCACCAGGCCCGGGGTCCAGCACACCACGAAAGCCCCTGGAGGGAGAGACAAGGAAGCAACAGGCGCTCAGACCTCAGGCTGCTTACATAGGTTTCTTCTCGTCCCGCCTTCTGTCAGTGGCATCAAGGGACCTTAAGGATTTGTTTTGACAACTGCAAAGCAAACTTCCACCCTTCCTCTGAGCATTTGAGACCTAGGCTTGTTAGAGGCCAACAGCTGAGAACCTCTTTGACTATTAACCACATTCTATTTCACCTTCTTATCTGTTTACCCAGGGCTGTAATGAGGGGCTTACATTTACCTCCTGCTTACTAAGCACTACACAGACCTTATCTCTTCTAGTTCTCTGACCCACACCAGCAGTCTGCTGTAGTCATTATCCACATTTGGCAGATGAGAAAACCAAGGCCCAATTCCAGGGGTGTATATGGGGAGGCCCCACACACTTAACCCTACACTCTGCTGTTCTCTAAATCAGATTTTCTCTATGCTTTCCTGAAAATAAGACACATTACATCTGTGCCATTCTCCTAGTCTTTTTACTAAGTCACCTGCTCAAAAATTTTATTCTGCATAAATCCATGTTGATGCTTATAGTAAGCACTATATTCTTTTTGACATATTCATAGGCCATCTGCTCTAGATTGAATTTTTTTTTGTCAGAAATAAATCTTTCTCCTTCATGATGAGATAGCGATGTGCTTTTTAGCACATTTATTTATTTAGCACAATTTTAGCATCAATTACACATGAAGGGTAGTCTCTTCTGAGTGTCTAGCCATCTGATCATACTTAGCTTACCTCCAAACTTTCTGACGTGTTTTTCCTAAAATATGAGGCATAGCTTCAATAGTCTCCCACTTAGTCATCATAACGTCAGACAACTGTGACAGCTAACATTTATATGGTACTTACAATGAGCCAAGCACTGGTGTAAATGCTTTCTTCCTTTATTAACTCACAGAACCACACTATGAGGTAGACATCATTATCATCCCCAGGAATCTGATGCACAAGAGAAGTAACTTGCTCACGATCAAATAGCTTGTAAGGACATCTCATTTGAACTTAGTCCTTCTCCACAGGCTGTGCTCTTGGCGACTATGTGACCTGTCTCCACGCCGTGAAGTGGTTTCTTTCTCCAAAGTCCTTCTCATTTCTAAATGTCCTTGCTTATCCATTCAATAAATATTCATCGTGAGCTTACAATGTGCCAGGAGCTCTACTAGACAGTGAACAAGGCGAAGAACATTCACTCGGGGAGCTAAAATGCTAATGGGAGACAGAATAAACAAGCAATCTGTAAACCACATCACCAACTAGTTACTCTTGCTGGTTAGGATTAGTCCTACACAATATTCCTCTTGTTGCTTATCTTCTTATTGAGAGAGATAATAAGCAAGTCAAGAACTATAAAGAGGCAATGTCAGGCCATGACACGCCATGAGCTTGGGGTCAAATAGGTATGCCCAGATCCTCACCTTATGAGCTACAGGAATGAGGCAAATCACTCCTCTGAGTCTTCATTCCGTCATTTATAAAATAAGGATAATAATCTCGACTGTGCAGGGTGGCGAGGGTCAGAAGTAATGGAAAGTGGTGCCCAACACTGAGTTGGGTTCACGAAGCAGAGGCTACCATGAGATGCTTTGTCAAAGACCTCTTCCAAAATTAGATGTCCAGGAGATAACAGCAGGGTTTAATTCCCCATTTCACAATTACAGCTCACCAGTGGCTCCCTTTTTACTTCATCCTGTATTATTTCTGGTCTGGCTGACATATGTGAATACAGAACTGGACTTGGAGATAAGGGATCAGAGATTCGAGCCCTCACTCCTCACCTCTGGGAGACCCATGTCATCAGTCAGGGGTTTGGCTTCCTAAGCTATAAATTGAGGACTTTGGGCAAGTTCTGGGTTTTTCAAACTGTGGGCCAGGACCCCTTAGTGGATATGCAATCAATTTAATGGGTTTGGACAAGTTTTGTTTTGTTTTTTAACGAAAGAATGGAATGGAATAGCTCAGAGGATACTACACAAATTAAGGGAAGTATTGTTTCATGAAACTTTTGTTTCAGTTTTATAGACTATACTTATGTGTGTATTGGTTATGAAGTAAAATATTATTTCTTACTGCTGGGTTTAGTAAAAATGTTTGAAAAACACTAGTTGAGATCATCTTTAAAACCCCATCCAGCTCTAATGGTCTGTATTTCCCATAACAGTAACACTTTTGTTCTGTCTGCTGTTCCCAAGAGAGCATTACTTTGTTGTCAAGAGGGAAGAACCAAACAAAGCAGACATCAAAAGCTGTAGCTACCACCTTTGATGTGAAGAGTCCCTTCCGTGTGAAATTGCATAATTCCAAAGAAATCCCGATGAGAGTCTTCCAAGGTCCTTGTGTTAACGGAAGGAGGGAAAAATATCGATTAACTTTATTCTTTGTTAAATACTCGTGTCAAGGGCCGGCCCCATGGCTTAGCAGTTGGGTGCGCGCGCTCCGCTGCTGGCGGCCCGGTTTCGGATCCCGGGCGCGCACCGACGCACCGCTTCTCCGGCCATGCTGAGGCCGCGTCCCACATACAGCAACTAGAAGGATGTGCAACTATGACATACAACAATCTACTGGGGCTTTGGGGGAAAAAAAAAAAAAAAAAAAAAACCTTAAAAAAAAAAATACTCATGTCAAAATTTAATAGAGTATATAACTTCCAAACCAATGGAAGGGGAAGAACGGAACTAAAGGGAAGAAAAAAAGATCTCAATATAAGAAAAGAAGGGAAAAGTGAAACATAGAAAAGTTGGTAGAGAACAAAATAAGATCCTGGAAATTAATCCAAATATTCCAATAATCAAACTCAGTGTTGATTGTGGTACAGTTTACAAAGAACAGGTGAATCTAAACAATCTGATGTCTAACACTACATCCATATGTGGTACAACCATGAGGAAAAGCAAGATGATTAACATAAAATTTATGACATGGTTATTTCTACAGGAGAGAGAGGGCCCCTGGGGTAGGGCACATCGGAGGTTCTAGAGATACTGGTAATATTCTATTAAATTGAGTGGCAAGTACACAGGTATTTTTTTTAATTTTTTATTCTTCTAAGTGTTATTCTTTAAACTGTCCACATATCTTATATAATTTTGTTTGAATGATATATTTCATACACACATACACATGTCAAAAAAGGATAAAAGTAAATTGCCACTATGTTTTCCTAAAAACTGTTTTTATAATGGGATTTTTTTTAATCATAAAAGCTTTTTTCCTCCACCACGAAACTCTGGTTTGGATTAGTCAGGGGACCTAAACACTCTAAATAAATCTCCAAATTGATGCCCTGTTTGTCATAATGTGGTAATTCATATATGTTTTCTCTTTGCATTGAATTACATAAAATAATTCACTCAATCAACACTTGACAAACTTTTCATTGAACAATGCTTACAAGCCAGGTGCTGTTCTAAGCATTTTATATGAATTAACTATTTAATCTTCATAGCAACACTTGGAAAGTAGGTATTAATACTACCCTATACTACCCTCATTTTAAAGCTGAGGAAACTGAAGCACAGGGAAGTTAGGTAATACGCTCAAAGCCACACAGCTGATAAGCGGAAGAGCCGGGATCTGAACCCACACAGCCGGGCACCAGAGCCTGGGCTCCTGTCCACAAGCTAGGCTGTTCAGCAGTGGGTCACAAAGGATCTTATTACTAAAGTGAGTGATGGGGAGATGCAGAGGGTACTTTTCTGGCCTTTAAAGTCCAATTCATAGACTGTCACATCTGCCTGTGAAACAGCATATATCACAATTAAATCATTCTTTGGTTTGCTGCCAGAAAGATTTCCTGGCCAAGGAAGAAAGGCAGGAAAAGAAAGGAAGGGGAGGGGAGGGGAGAGGAGGGGAGGTAAGGGGAGGAGAGGGAAAGAAGGGAGGGAGGGAGAGAGGATGGAAGGAAGGAAGGATGAAAGGAAGGAAGGAAGGGAGGGAGGAAGGGAGGGAGGAAGGAAGGAAAGAAGGAAGGAAGGAAGGAAAGGGAAGAGGAAGGAAGGGAGACAGAATTCCAACAAAAATATAGGCTGGCCGTGGGAGTAAGAAGAGAGACAAAAATCCGCTGATCTTTTCTTTATACTGTTTCCAAGAACAACAAAGGCAAGCCTTCTTTGACAGCACAGCCCAAACACACCATGCTCTCAACTAGAGAAGGAGTGTTCGGTGGTGGTGTCTGAGGTGGTGATTACACCCTGGGCAGTAACCCTGGGAAACACGCTGCTCCGTGACTCCTCTACCCGGCGGCCAAGCTCTCCCTCCAAACACATCTCAGAGTAGACGCACAGTTTATCTAACAGTTCATTCTTTGGGGGTTTTTACTGTATGTCAGCAGCTAGATATGAGGCCCCCAAAAAATTTAAAAGGAGAATGGGTCAGGAATGGTTTTGGCCTTGGGAATCTTTAAACTTGGAGAATTCCTGGAGAATGTGGGAGATGTCAGAAACATACAAATGGGCAACTGGCCTATTCCTTAAAAGAGGGGCAGATAATGGATCCTGGGAAATACACACCAGTCAGTTCTCCATCAATTTCCAACACATTTTAGAAGAAAAAACTAATACAAATGTTTTTTGAGTATTTAGACTCAATGCTCAGAGTATGACAGCTGGGAACAAGCAAAGTTTTCAAAGAGGTCATGCCAAGCCCTAATCATTTTTTTTTAAATTAGGCATTAACAAATAGAAGTGGGTCCAAGGTGTCTATCTGGGAACCAGCAGAAGAAATCAAGTATGTTTTTCTTTAGAGTTAAGAAAAACCACAGGAAAGACACAATGTGTTAACTGTCTCCAAAAACCTGAAGGGCCACCACATAGAGGAAGAACAGACTTATCTTGGGCCATTCCAGAAGGTCACCCTGAAACAAATGGAGAGGTCCAAGTGGCAGAATTTGGCTGTAAGAGTTCTTTTTAAGTAAAGGAAGCTATTTAGGAGGGGAAGTGGTTGTTCAGCAGGCAAAGAGCCTCCCCTGGCCAGA